GAACATTTCCAAAGAGGGCAGGCTGGCGTTAAAGTGACCTGGCAGGGTTAGAAACCGGAGAGGCACCGGAGCTGTTCCAGCCTTTTCTGGCTTCATTGTTTTGAAGCTCTCTAATTAAAGGGACAACTGACAGGAAGCAGGGCAGAAGAAGAGAGGGGCGCCCGAGGGCATCAGATGGCCGAAAGGGGTCCCCCTCTGGCCCAGAAAGGGGATCAAGGGGGGGCAAGGGGGGGCACTGCCCCACTCCTTTGAGGGCTCTGCTCACCTCCCATTCCTGGAACAGGCGTGTGAGGAAGGTGTACTCCCTTGCTCGCAGCGACAGCAAATCCACCAGGAGCAGCATGCAGAGCGGGTCATTCTCCGGATCGAGGCTTTCCGGGGGGTGGAGGGGGGGCAGATAAAGGGAACACGACTTTCAGGTCCGCTGTCCCAAGGGAAGCTTCGCTGGCCTTTGGCAGAGGGAGGACCAGCTGGCATCCCTGGGAACAGCAACCCCTCCCCCGCAGGCCACTAGCCCTTCTCCACCTGGTTTGGGGGGACCGGGAGCCCCCCCCCCCCCCCCCCCCCCCGGCAGCCCTCACCTCAAGAGGAGTTTGCAGACCTCCAGGGCAGTCCGGGGACAGCCCCTCCTCTCCAGGAAGAGCAGGTGCTTGAAGAGGGCCAGCTGGAAGGCTCTGCGACGGAAGGCGGAAGGGAAGGGGCGTGATTCCAGGGACAGGAGGGGGGATCCAGCAGGGCCTCAAGGGGGGCCCTGGCACCCAGCGGTCACCGGTCAAGAAGCAGACGCCTCCCTCCAAGTCCCCAGGGTGGGCACCCACCTGTTCTCCGGGTGGCGGTAGTCCAGCCTGCAGGTGCCGCTGGTGAGGCTGAAGACGGGGTGGAAGGCGCACTCCAGGGTGTAGAGGGCTCTCTCTGCAAAAGAGGCACGGTGGCCCAGGGCCGTTCCTCCCGACCCCGCACCCCAAACCCTCTCTTTCCATGGGCCACCCTTGCCCGGTTCTCACCAATCAGGTCTCTGGCCATCTCGTGGTCTTCCTGCATCCGGCACACGTCGCTGAGCTGCACGAGTGAGTCCACGTGGTAAGGATTCATCTGGAGCAGCAGCTGAGAACGAAGCCGAAGAGGAAAGAAGGGCAAAGAAGCTAACCAGGGGGGGGGGTTGCTGGGAGGGAATGGGGAAAAACGGGCCCCGTCGCACCACCCACCGAGCCCAAAGCAGCACTGGGGAGGGCTCCCAAATTCAACAGGCTCCAGAAGGAGGGGAAACCGGTTGCTTGCCTGCATCCCTGGCCCCTACCTGCCCCCCCCCCCCCATCAGGCCACCTGGGCTATTCCCTTGGGCTTCAGAGCCACCTTCCCTCTCTTCCTCTTCCCTTCTCTTGCTGCAACCTCCGCTCCAGGCTCAGATTTACGACGTCCACATTCAGTAAATTTAATGAAATAGGAACCATTCTTCAGAAGTCAAATATTCACCATTCAGACACGGGACTGATTTTCAGTGGCACCTCGTGTCCACTTGCCACTGAGATGGTGTTTTTCGCTGCTGCCATCAGTTATGCAAAGCACCCTGTGTACAGCTTCCTATGCGTCACCTATCGTTGATCCAGGAAAAGCCAGCTCATTGCCTCAACGGACTGTGGCTGAAAAGCAGCTGTTGTATAAAGGCAGCCACGCTCCTTCCCGTTTTCCAAGAACTTACATTCCTGTTTGTCAGAGAACCCAAAGGTTCCTCAACTGTGCTGAATTCCCCCTTGAATTCCCCCTTGGGGGGCAAGGGGGGGGGGGGGGGGGGGGGGAGAGAGTCAGGAGTCATTCCTGGACAAAAGGCCTTTTATCTCCCCAGCCCTCCAATTTCAAAGAGACATATTTATCCTGGCTGGGAGGAAGGAAGGAAGCGGGGAGCACTCCAAACTCAATGTCTTGATTATCTGGCTAATATTAGGCTAAGAACAAGTTTGGCCTTTCCACACTTTGTATTTACCATCAAACTGTTCACCAGTTAACCCAGCTGGACCGGTTCCATAGAAGTCTCAAAGCAGAGCCTGTTCTCTGAGGCCCTGGGGCAACGAGAGACGCTCCTTTCCTCAAAGATGGCAAGGTTTAAATATAGCCCAAGTGTTGGCTTAGCTCTCGCTGCGCTGGACTCCCTTCAGCCCCGTCTGCAGCCTTTGTCTCTCTTCGGTGCTTGGAAGCCCAGGCAGGAGGGGTGGGGGGAGGCTGCAAATGCATGAGGACCAGGGGAGCCTCTTCTCTGCCCTACGCAAGCGGTGACTCTGCTCTGCTCTGGGCATCAGCAGAGGTCCGGCCTTTTCAGAGGGAGGGGCCAGGTGCCCGTCACAGGGGTGCACAGGGATGCCCCGAATGGGGAGATGGCGCTCGGAAGCGACAGGAACAGCAGGAGGAAAACCGTTTCGGCATCCAAAGCCCCCACAATAAAAAAAAGAACCACCATAGCAGGCAGAACCAGGCTTCAAGATCCTTTTATAAGGACACAGCATAACTCCACACTGGTTAGAATCACAGGCACAGGCACGCCCCGGGAGGAAGGTTTAGCCAGAAGGCCACATCCCTCTTAAGTATAACGCTCTCTCAGAGGACGCAGCTCAGAGCGTTCTGGCTCTTGCCTCTCCTCGAAATCAGAATCGTCAAGGGACCTTTGTGTGGCTGAGGGGCTTTGGCACTCTGCGGGTGGTCTCCATGCAGAGTGGGCTGGACGCAGCTGCGGCCCAAGGGGGTCAGTCGATACCTACAGCCTAGAGGGGTGGCCCAAGGGGAATGGACCTTTGGAGGGGGCATCAGCTGGGCATGGCTGGACAATACAAAATCCTGGGCAAGTCCAGAAGTCAAAGCTGGGATGGAACAAATTCCTGCAGCTGAATTCGTGACTTTGGGCAGCCCTGATGGAAAACCTACCACAAGATTGTTTGGGTCCATCGACTCCACGGCATCCAAGAATTTGAACTGCACCAGCTGGTACTCCCGGTTGTGCTCAAAGGCAAAGTGTTGCTCCCCATGCCTTGTTTCTAAAAGCACCATGGATATACCTGGAGAGATTTGGGGGGGGGGGGGGGGGTCAGCCTCAGTGGAATGATAATCCAGAAGCTAGTGAAGCGTCTGTCTCAGTTTCTCAACCTTGGCTACTTTAAGGTACGTGGACTTCAAGTCCCAGGATTCTCCAGCCAGAACGGAGAAGACACTCTACATGTCTTAAAGTGGCCACGGCTGAGAAACGCTGGCCTATCGTTTGGAGAGAAGCTAAACTCTGCTAAGCTTGGATTTTTTTCACCCCGCTTCGAGTTGGATGGCCTTGATTCCCCTCACTCCAAATGCACAAAGTTCCAGGCCGGAAGTTCCACTGCAGCCCTTACCCAGGTTCCCAAGCCTGGGAGTTCTCATCACGCAAGGCATGGACACCTCCAAGCTAGAGGAATCTGGGCGGTGATGTGAACGTTTCCACCTATTGTTTCAGGGTAAAGCAAGCCCTCTTCCTTTCTTCAGCCTTAAAACAAATCTGGAATTCTCCTGTGCAAAGTTGGAGAAGATCAGTATGAAGAGCCCAGAAGGCGGGCAGGTAAGGAAGTTGTGAGACAACAACTGGTGCCCTACCAGGCCTCTCCTTTCACTGGCATCGGAAGAGAAGTTGATGGCTTGTAACGCAGCCACAATATATTTGCCTGCTGCTCAGCTCCGCCACTCAGTGCCCAACATGCCATCAGAATAGACAGGAGCCTTTTCCCCGTCCCAAAGTCAGCCAAGGCGTCTCTGGGGGGAGAGGCTTTGGGAAGGCCTCTCACCTGTTTTGCTATGACGGGGCCAGGTGTCCTTGGGTGCTGTCAACCATGTGCTGCGTACATACTGGCGCTGCCTCTGCCTTGGCCTGGAAAGGAGGAGCACACTTTAAGGCGTGAATTCATACATCGGAGCCTCTGTCTATGTTCTGGTTGCCAAGCAGCTGCAACAAAGCCCACATGGGTGGTACGGTTGTGTTCAAAGCCCTATTGATGTATCCTGCCCTCTCCACCCCCTCCAGGCGATCATCGGTCGTTAAAATAAGCAGGGCCTTGTTTCGGAATGAGAGAATGTGGGCTTCCTTACTGGGAAAATGCAACTGCCTCTGTTCTCCAGTGGTGAAGTGAGCATCGTTACAACCCCACCTCCCGATGAGCGCAAAGATTAAACAGACGCAGCAGAAGAGGGAATAACCACATCTAACGTCAAGGCATGTGCTTGTCCTCACATGCACGCAACGCCTGTGAGAAAGGCAGATTCAAGTCTCTGTCTGGGTCCATCAAAGGAACTGGGACCAACTGACTTCTCCCCAGCAAAACCCCGGGGAACCCATAGCGGGGCGCCTGCCTCCTGGGGCAGGGCTGTGTGCCGGCCCTTCCTCGGGACAAGCAGTCAGCCGCCTGCAGTGGTAAAGGGTGGCCCAAGAATGGATCAAAGCCCCTCCTGGAGGGCCAGTCAAAACTCTCCACCCAGAAGGACCATGGTCCTGGGAGGGCTCAGAGAGGTCCCAAACTGATCCGTCCCTGGAGGAGGCTTATGGACCTAGAATCTACCATTTCCCTTCCTTCCGCCCGCAAAGACTCCCAGGCAGGGTGGGGGAATCCTAGCCCCAGGCAGAGTCTAGGAAAGGCCTTCTCACCACAATGTTTCCCCAGATTGTGACTGGTGTGGCCAGGTGTTTTGCTTTCCCACACAAACCGGAGGTTTCTATCTCACAACACTGGATCTCACCTCTGATCTCCCAGAACCGCCCGGGCTCCGAAGTATCTCTTCAGCTCCATCTCTGGATTCAGGCTCCTGGAAAGTTGGGAACACAAATCTTGCCTGTCATTTAATGCCTACATCCTATCTGATGCAGAGAACACACTGTGGCGTCCAAAATCTTTCTCACTTAAAGCCATCGAGATACAATGTGCTTTTATTTGCATGTAAGCAACAATTGTTTACTGGCTTCTCAGCCAAGTTTTGTCCTGTGCTGGACGGCCATGAGCAAAAGCAGAACCAGAGCTTCTACCCCCTTGGCCCCCTACATTGCAAAGACAAGGCAGAGGAAAAAGGTAAACACAGCAGAAATTACAGCCCGATGTTGGAATATGTTAAGATAAAGCCGCCTGGATCGCATTAGTATTCATTCTTCCTAGTAGGTCAGCGTGCCAGCCATACTGTCTCTGAGATATAGCCGGAGAATAGAGGAAATTTAGTTTACCAGGCCACAGATTCCGGACTGATTCTTTTCCTTATCACCACTCAGGCTCAATTCAGCTTCCTTTAAATGTTTTCTCACAGAGCCACTTTAAGAAGTTCCTATGTGCAAGGGGCATCTCATAGGTTTGATAGCAAATATAAGAAAATATCATCTATCAGCTGTTCCTCTTGAACTCTCCCTTAATTTAAGCTGTCTAGAGCCTCAGCACTGATGTATAACCTAAAATCGATCGTTTATCTACAGGGCTCTCCCACCACTGACGGACATTTGGTCTCTTACCTGTGTTCGATGTAAAGGAGAGGCCGATTATCGGTCGCCAGCCTGCTCTGGCTCTGGCATGGGGGCCCACTGGAACTCTCAATGCTCAGCAAAATGCTTTCAATATTTTCCACCTGGTCATCATCTCCAAGGAACTGTTGAAAAGCAACAACATGAGCAAAAGGGCTTCTCCCTTCTCAGATAAAATCCATGTAATGGGAAGTCTTAATGCTCTCTCGCAGGCAGCCTCATAGTGGTCCTTTAATACAATCAACACCTTCTGCAATCATAGAGGCCCCATCACTGAACATAGGACGGCCATTTATTTCTCCAGGATTGTCTGAGAATCTGCCCCAGAGGGGGGTCGAAGGCCTCCAGGGCCCCTTTCATCCCTTGGATTCTGGTCTTGCACAGCTTTTAGCCATCTTTGTTCCTTGAACTGCAAGCTCTTTCTAGTGACTAGTCAAGATTCTGTAGAGCTGTAGTTACAATTTTGTAAGGGAAGCATCATATTTTAATGTTTTAATCCCACATGAAGTCTCAAATTCCTGGCAGCAAAGGAAATAACCATGACTTTTTTCACATGCCTCAACTGGTTTAATTCATTCAGCACTTCCATACAAGTGCTTAATCCCCAAATCTAATTCGATTTACCAGAGCCTCGCCTGAAGGATTCTTCTTATTCTTTCTTTTCTTCTTTTTCTTTCGTGATTTGTTGTTTGCAGTAGACTTTTAAAAATAAAAATAAAAGGTTGAAAGATGAATATAATGAAGCATGACATGAAAAGTATGAATCTCAAACAAGTTATCTAACCCAAGAAAATGTCTAAGTTTCTTTTAGGAGCTATACTCACAAAAGATGTGCCAGCAGATAAAAATACAAATAGTAGCCAAACAATATTATAATCCATCAGGGTCAACACAGCAGAAATAGAGCCCTTCACACACCCAGGACCCCAGACCCAGGGGCACAGCAAGACCCTTTGAAAGGCTATTGGGGTTGGGGCTATTGTAAACTCAGGAGGCACTATGGAAGAAAAGGCAGGCCTCCTGCTCCCCACCATTCCTTAGCCGGCAGGACCAGGAGTTTACCCATCCTGCCAGACTGGACCAGATGGGTATAAACAACTGGGAATAGACAATCCTTCAGATAACCAAACCACAAAGGACTTTAATGGTGACAAACAGCATCTTGAATTGCACCTGGCTACCAATCTGGCCCCCAAAGCAAAGGTGTTACATTTGCCAAATTACTGATTGCAGTTTGTTACTTTTATTGTCATGAAGCTGACCTGTTTGTATGCTTGTTTTCCAAAGTTGGTTTTCATAACCTGTTCTACGTTGCTTTGTTTTTTGTTGATGATATAAAATTAGTTTTAAACAAAAATGGGCACCATTGTTTTCTACATTATACTTGCCATTTGGTCCAGCTGTTCCACCTCTCCCCCCTCCCCCCTCTTGTCACTCTCCGGCAGTTCAGGTTCAGCCTCTTCAGTTGTAGGGTTGCCTCCTTCCTGCAATCGGGAGTCATCAGTCTCCTCTTTAGATACCAGGTCCTCATCCAGTCCTTCGGTGTTTATCTGCACAGGTTAAAAGTTTCCCAGTCCACAAGCAAGTATATGGCATAACCATCATTTGGTTTTGCTTTCTCTCTCTTAACGTTACAAAGAAGAACCCCTTAAGAAGGGAGGCCAGTAGCAGGATCAGAGAGCACACAAGAGCGCCGTTTCTTTTCCACCAGCAGGTGGGGAGACACCCGCAATGGGCTGAAGCTGCTACCCAACCCCTTGAAAGGCACCGGGAGGCTTCAAACACTCTACAGAGCCCCCCCGGCCTGGGGACAGGCGCGATTCCGGGGCCAAGCCAGCCTCTCCGGGGGCGGTTCTCGCCCTTCGGATCGTATAAGCCCTGCTGGGAAGACCGGGGGGACGCCGCCCGGCTGCTGAGGGTCTCCGGCCGGGGCAGTGCCTCACCAGCTCAAAGGGGTTCGCCACCCGCTCCAAGGGCTCCCTCCGCGGGCCCCGCCGCCGCCGCCTCCCGCCGCCGCACAGGGGCGGCAGCTGGTCCCCCGCGACCTCCTCGTCCTCGTCCTCGTCGCTGCCTCGCGCCTCCGGCTCCTCGCCTAGCAGCCCCTGGCCGCGCCACTCGCCCCGCAGCCGCCGCAGAGCCCGGTGAGACATCGCCCCCGCAGCAGCCGCTCCGGGAACGCCGTCGGTCCGGAAGCTGTTGGGACAACCCGAAGGAGAGCTGGGGCCCGTCTAGGCACCGGCCCGTCGCACTTCCGCTGCGCTGCTCACGCATGCGCGGCTCGTCGTGCCCGGCCGGCTGTGGCTCGTGGAGCGAGGGTGTCGCCGCCGGAGCCGCGCCTGGCCGTCCGGAGCGGGCGAAGGGGATGGCTGCGGGCAGGCGCTTCCTTCCCTTTGACCGTAAGCCTGAAGGCAGCTCTTCCCCCCTTGAAGAGCGGGTCCCGCCCCGGCTGCTCTCAGTGACTCCGTCGGTTAACAGGCGAGGAAGGTGCCCCCAACAACAACCCTGTGAGGTGGGTCTGGCTGCAAGAGGGGGACCCACCAGAGTCGCCCAGCCGGCTTTCGTGCCTAAGCACTTGGATCCCGCCCACCAGGCCTTAGGCGGCGGTGGGGTCGTGCAGTGGGCCCGGCCAGCCCCACCGTGGAACATCCTCCTGGGGATCAGCTCGGTCCTGACTCGGCTGGCTTTTGCCGGTGGGCTTGAGGATCCCAGGCGCGCGGTAGGAGGACCCGTTAAGTGGCTGTTCTATTTTGGTGGGTGTGGTTATCTCAGCCGTGGCTTTTAGGCCTCTCATGATGGTTTTATATTATTTATTTGTTTTTAAATTGCATTTTTAGGTGTTATATGTAGCTTTTGGTAAGCCTCTTATATGTGAGATGGGTGGAACTGGAATAAATAAGGCTGAATTAAATAATATTCTACATAATCTTATATTCAAGAGTCGAGTTGGCAGATTTCAGGCTGCTGTGTAACTCTCCACTAAGAACTTAATAAACCAGAACTTCAATACTCCCAAACATCTCCAACCCTTCTTTATAACAGTAGAATTTAGGAAATAATTTTGTTGCAGTCCTATTAAACAATCCTTGTGGATCTATTCAAGTTGAGAAACTTCTGCCCATTGTTCTTCTGGAAAGAGAATAAGAGCTGTCACAGATCAAAGGCTCTGTGTGATTCCTGATCTCTGGAATGCCAAACTGGGGAGCCCTGGAATAAGCAAGCACACCTTCCAAAGCTCCTTTAACCATCTCTTTGGATTAACCGCCTACATCGTATCTGTGCTGGGAGAGTAAAAAAAGTGGGCAGAGGGCAAAAACTGGAGCTCTTCCCTAAACAGATACCGACAAGCTCTTCCATTTGGAGTTTTAGGAAGCATTTTCATCAGCCTCAAATTCCCCAGAGAAATTGTTACTGCCTCAGGAGGAGCAGGATTTACAGAAGAACATTACTAGGTCTGCTTCACTTTAAATTTTATTTACATTTCTTTTAAAGTACACGCTTCATATAAAACATTGGCAGAGGAGGACGAGTGCACGCAGGACTGATGAGGGGAGGGGAAGCCCGCTTTGACACAGCAAGTAATTACTGCAAAGAAGAGTGAGTGGATCAATGCGGCCATGAATGTCAAGCAAGCAGATTGGCCCAGAGAACAAGAGGAGAGGGGACCCCTAAAACGCCAGCAAAGTCCTGACCTTCCTCTTCTGTTCTTGAAACCTCCCTCTCGGTCTACAAACGTCTGATCTACAAACTTCTTCCAAAACCTCCCTTCCACATTTGAACTTTGCTTTCTAACCACGTTCTTAATTCTGACCAACTTCTGGAGTATCGTCTATGTACACTGCATATAGCCACTGATAGGTTATATGCAAGTTATTTGTGCACCAGCTGTGCATTTCTGGCATGAAGTACCCCATGCCATGGTAGCCATAGGCATGTGTGGTTTGCAAAGTTTGGCATGCTGAATTGCTAGATTTCTAGTCCATCTTTTTTATATATAACGCAAGGCAGCGAACAGAACTTAATACTCCTACCTCCCCTTTTCATCACAACCCTGTGAGGTGGGTTGGGCTGACTTCCATGACTAAGGCATGAAGAACTCAGATCCCGGATTCTAGATCAGCACCTTAACGAGACCAGAGTGGCTCTCAACTTAGTTGAGGCCTGTGATGCTAGGCACAAAACGGGCACAAGATGGAGACTTCTTCCAAAACAGGTGACCGGGGAGCAAGGGAGGGGACGGTGGCATGCAGAAACAGGTTTGTAGGCTCCTGGCAAAACCCAAAGGGCACTGCCGAGTCTCTCTCCTTTGAGAAAATAAGCAGAAGAGCCTAAGGCCTGAACAGAGTGACATTGAGGCGCTCTTTGTTGTGCTCCAAGACCATCCATGGCCGAGGGGCCGTGGCATAGGCTTTCCTGCAGCAAAGGCCCTGTCAGGATTGCATAAGTCACCGAAGGAAGAGCAGGGCTCGGATCTTACTCTTGTGCAGCTGGGAAGCGCAAAAAGGAGGGATGGAGGTTGCGGAGTCTCGCTTGTCCTCTCGGACCAAAGTGAGCTTCCGTGAATACTGAAGGCAGGGTTGGATAAAGTGGGCAGCACATGAGGCAGGAGAGAGGGATTCAGAGGGAGGTGGAATAAATACCTGGAGGGAAGAGGGTGGGTCTTTTCCCCTAATGGTGGATTATGCCTCTTCCCCCGCCCGCCCGCCCTTGCATCATGCCAGTACAGCGTTTGGGATCCTTACCAATCTTTAAATTCTTCTGGCAGGTTTCCAGAAAGAGCCACTAAGTCAGGTTAAGCAGGCCCGCCTGCAGCTGCCCTAAGTGTGGCTGCTCCTTCTCCAGCCGCTGCAGAACCCCCCACTCCCTGGCATGGGCCCAGCCTTCCCCAAGATGCTGGGATTTGGCCTGGCAGAGGTGGTGGCTCCAACTGGAACTGGCTCCACTCCCAGGGGGAGGGGTCTTTGACAGAGGGGCCCCCTCCAGGCTTCTAGTCTTTATTTCAAGTCAGTGGAAAGAGGGCAGAAACCAACCTTCTCGGCAAGTTCATGCTGGACAACCACGTTGGGGTGTTAAATAAGCTGTAAAGTATCCACCACATGCTAAGCCGCTACCCAAGTGGCCAGTTTAGTTTGCGGTTTACAGAGTTTACACAGCTTAGTGCAATGTGTAAATATGGCCCCATTTATGCAGGAACCAGGACTTCTTCCTATACAGACACCCGGACAGTCCACGCCACCTCCACAAAGATCCTGGCACCCTCCATGCAGTCGGCTGTCCTCCCTCCCTATGCAGCCGGGAACAGGTGCTCTCTCTCTCTCTCTAAATTATTGCAAAATTAGGTATTTTATTATTGGCTGTACAAATAAGTCACACTCCTGAATCTGTAGAGGGAGGAGGAGAGGAAAATATCGCCCTTTTTCATAGTCTCAGCAGGAGCCCCGCCTCGTTCCTAGAGAAAGACGGCAAGCCAGAGCCACAGAAAAGAGAGGGAGCAGCCGGCAGCTCCGGAAGGTGCGTTCAGCAGCAGGCACACCTGGCTGTGAGAGAGCCCACTTGGCAAGAAAGCCCAAGGCTGGACGGACCTTTCCTTCAGCGGCATCAGCGAGGGGTGCAGAGCGTCTCCCAAGGAGGCCCTGTGGGGAAAGCAGCAGGGAAGAAGCTGGCCTTGCCTGGCAGGCGGCCCTACTGCCCACCGGCGCAGCTGGACCCCTGGTGCCCAGGCTCCCTCTTGCTGACCTGCAGGCTAGGGTGGTTTCAGCAAAGTTCTCGTTTGCCAACGAAGGCGGTTGCCATGCTGGCCAGCTAAAGCAACTTCTCTGCTGTATAAATAGAGAGTATCTACAAGGCCGTGCGTGCGTGTGTGTGTGTGTGTGTACATAAGCAGCAGGCAGATGTCCTTGGAAAATGGGTTGGGCTGGATAAGGAAGGTGGGAGCCAGCAGACCCTCCAGGGTTGCATTTCCTCTGCCAGAGAGTCGTGGCTGCCTGGCCTTCGAAGGTTGGATGCCGGAGCTGGAGAGGGGGGAGCGTTGAGGGGACGTCTCAGGCACCTCTAGCTGGACGAGATGTACAGGGACTGGGTTTTGCGGCTCCTGCCCGGCTTGGTGTTGAGAATGTCCATGCTTTTGCGGCTGGAGCTGACAACATCTGTGACGAAGCCAGAGCAGTCGCGGCAAACGTCCTTGAGCACCGACCCGTGGGCATAGATGCAGGGGAACTCTTCCTCCACGCTGCGCCAGTGGGTGCCCTGCAGGGAGCTGGAAGGCAAACACGGGGTGTTCTTGACTGGGGCCCCCAGGGCCAGAGCAACCTCAGCTGACAGGCTTGGCTTGGTTCAAAGGTCTGTGGCTCCAGTATCAGGAAGCACCTTGGGTAACCTGCTGACAAGCACCCTGAGATACATAGCTTGCATGAGGGGATAGCCTTAAGCCATGCTTTAGAATGTCCTGCCTTACTGTTAGGTCTGAATCTTGAAGGAGATCAGGGTTACGCGTCGCACAGTTGTTAAGCTACCATCCCTGGCCCTCTCAATCCTTCAGCGACTTGAAGGGGTTGCAAGCGCTACACCCATGAGCCAGGTGGCCGTTCATGGACTTTGGATCCCTTCCATCTCTCAAGCCAAATAATCTCTTATCCGTGAATGAAAAGGAGAATGGGGGCAGATCTTCAGCTGAGGCCACATTAAAACTATCGTTGGTTAGCGTCTTGATATGTCTGGGCAAATGCAAGGATTGTAGTTTGCGGACCTATCTGGCTGGGGTTCAGACTGCCGAGAGTTGAGCCCCTGTGCCTGCAAGCGCCTCCCGTAACCCTGTGCTGGGACTGCAGCCCCCAGAATTCCCCTTCAGTCGACTTGATTGGTTTGACATTCTGCTAGCTGACCTCTCATCCTGTCTGGAGCAGAAAAAGGCCCAATCTGCCAATCTCGGCTGTGGGACTCTCTTGCTCTGATCTGCACACCCTAAACAGCGGAGGAGGAGACAGGAAGAAGGCAAAGGACCTACAGGAAAGTCTCCTGCCGGCGGGCTGGGGGGGCCTTGGCCCCCAGAGAGCCGTGCAGCGTCTCGAAGCCCAGGGCGTAGACAGGGATGTGGGCGAGCTTCTTCGAGGGCATCTTGATCTAGAAGGGCCAAGCAGGAGGGACTCAGCGGAGGGCTGGGCTGCTCCACCCAGCTCCCCAGAAGGCTTCCCCAGGGACTTGGCCTCGGAAAGCGCTTACCTTCAGGCTGCAGGAACCGCAGACAGACCTAAAAGCAACAGAGGAAGGCAAAGGCTCAGCCGGGAGCCCCATTCCTCCCACGGCCTCCCCCCCAGCCGGGCGCTTGCTTACTCACCTCTTGCAGAAGAGGCAGGTTGGGGGCCAGGAGAAGAGCGCAAACTTGGTTCGGCAGCAGCAGCAGCTCTGAGCCAGAGGAGAGGCCATCAACAACGGCTCACCCGGGGAGCACCCCCTCCCCGCTGCAGCCCCCGGAGCCCCTCGGCCTCACCTTCCCTTTCTTCAGGCTGGCGTAGAGCTCCTTGCTCTGAAGAAACTTCTCCATCTCTGCCTTCACCAGCACTCGGCGCACGTTGATCATTTCCTCCACCGTCAGCGCCAGGCTTTCTACGGGGTGGCTGAACTCCTGCTGTGGGGGGCAGGGTGTGGGAATCAGAACGGCCCTCAGCCAGGCCAGCTGCCCAGGCAGGGTGGGCAGTCCAGGGTCTACTGCAGTTAGGACTCCAGGAGAAACCACCAGCCCTTACCAAGACACACCCCTCCTCCTTAGGTGGTCGGGTTTCAACTGCCAGGGAAGGCTGGCTATTCCCTACCTCACGAGATGCGGAGAAAGGCTGGCTCCCGTTTGGGGGAGAAACAAAGCACAGAGAGCCACGCAGAATTGGCCCCCAATAGTAAAACGTCCAATTGCCCCAAGGAAGACGTTCCACACGAAAGACGGTGAAGTTGGAGCCATTGGCCTTGCCATCCTCCCACTGAAGTTCTTCCGTGTTGAGGCCATTTCCTGACTCCCTTCCTTCCTTCCTGGGACAAGGACTTGACTTGGGGCAGCCTCACGCACCGGAGGTCGTGCCGCAGAGCGTGTGTGAAAGACCCCACCCCCGAAGATGCTTACCAGCCACAAATACTTCAAACTGGCGTCTGTGATCGGAACAGAGCTAGCCTCCAAATTCTCTTCCACAGAACCGAGGATGTCTTGTTTACGGGGGCAGGAACCGACCCGAGGGTGGTAGCGAGCCGGAACCGAACCTGAAGGAGGACAGAAGGGAACAGGCAAGTCAGTATCCGCCCAGCAGGGAGAACAGGCCCTCCTGCTTCCCATGAAAACGCAAGGGGTGTGTAGCTGAAGCAAGAGGCAAACCAGAAAATCAATAGCAGCCACACCCAGCCAGGGTTCACCAACGGAAGCTCCAGCAGCCCCCGAGGCCCTCCCAGCTGCTGTGTGCGGGAGAGGAACCCACTCACCCCCAGGCTGAGCTAGTCAAAAGTCTGCCCCCCCCCCCCCCGTCTTGCTCCATCTTCCGAAGCTCTTTCTCACTGGATCCGCAGTGGTCCTCAGACAGTTGGGCTGCAAGGCTGGGAAAGCGGGGCAGGCACAGCGAATGGAGTCCCAAAGTGGGGCTAGGTCCTAAAAGGGCTTCCCTTGGCCCATGTTTTCCATGCTGGCCCCTGCAGAGGGCACGGTACCTGAGCGAGGCCTCGAGTCCGACAGGTTGGACCGTAAGTACTCCAGGTGAGGCTCGCTGCTCTCCCTTTCATCCCGAAAATGGGCCAAGTCTTGTTCGGAGAAAGAGCGGTCCCGCTTCAGGGGCATCAGGGGGCCCGGCTGCTGAGCCGCCTCCGAGCAGGGAGAGTCGTCTTCCTGCAGGAAAGGGAACCCTCAGCCTGGCTGCGGAAATGCCGGCACTGCCCCCCCCTCCCCCAGGCACAGCAGGAGAAGGAGCACTGGAGCTGGGGCACGCACACGCAGGGGGCCTTGCGCAGCATGGTGCCAGTGGCCCTAGTGGGTGGCAGAGGTTGCCAGAGCAGGAGGTTTGGGGCAAAGGAAGGAGAAGGGGAGGAGGCCCGCGGGACTGGGCTGCCAGGTCCGTTTGTGGCCTGTGCCCATTTCTGCAGGCCGAGGAGCTCTGAGGGCCGGCTCTTACTTCCGAAACAAACATCTCCTCCATCTCTGCCAGCGTGGGTGCCTTCAGCAGGACCCTGGGCCTCTGGCGCGGAGGTGGGGCACCGGACTCTGAAACGGAGAGGTTGATGCAAGAGGTCGATTTCATGTCGCCGGAGCAGGCATTCACCAGGCAGGGCAAGGAACCAAACCCTGGCAGGACAAGAGGAGAGGGCACGGTGTGGCAGCAGCTCTCTTCTGGGCTGGGCCCGGGGGAAATGCCAGCCTGGCCTCCCTTCTAACAAGTGGCCTTTAGCATAGGCCAGCTTCCCCCAGCCTGGCACCGGACTTCATGGCGCCCATCCAAATGTCAACGCGGGTGAAAGCTGCAGGGCTGAAGGTCGGGACACCCGAACTGCCTTCCCTCCAAGAGAGCCCCGAGTCGCTCCAGGCTCCCCCTCTTTCCATTGCTGAGGGGGGAATGATAGGCAAGAGTCCCAGCTCTACCCTCCGTCTGGAGCGTCTTGAGGTGCCTGCGGGACTAGACCGAGATTGGGGCGTTTCCCCCGAGACCCAGCGGGTTCCCTCCTGCCTTGGCTGCCTCATCCCAGCAGGGAGAAGAGGGATCTTCTTCCAGGACCTCCCGCCCCCCCCCCCCTTCTTCTTTCTTTTCTTTTCTTTTCTTTTTAAGGACAGACCCACCTCTCTGGTCCTGGTGCTGCAATTCCACCGGCCGGAGCTTCCGTTCCTGCTTGATCTCCTCCAAGATCTTCTCATGGAGGCTCCTCAGCTGCTGGGGCGGGGGGCGCAGCCTGCGCTCTGAGGCCTGCAGTAGGGTGGGGAAGCCAGAGAGCCACGTTCCACTGGCGGCTGCTCTTCCAACTCCGGGGCTGAAAGGGCACCTCAAGGCCTCCAAAATCGGTCCCTAATCTGCCGCTTCCAAGAGGTTGCCGAGCGACGGCAAACCAAGCCAGCAGGTATACTGGACTGCGCCATTCATCCCGTTCACTTGTTGGGAAGCAGAGCAAAGCACCCTGGCCGGCTGCCGCCCTTGAGGTTGCAAATGCCGCTGCTCTGCCTGGCTAGAACAGCCCTCGTCCAATCCAGGAAGCAGCCCCGGCAGCTTCCCCTCCCAAAATAATTTCCTATTGGGCAAGTGACCATCTCAAATCAACGATGGAATATTAGAAGTGGCAAAAGCAATGAAGGCGATTGTTGGTGCAGCCCCCAAAGTCCGAGACTGAAGGCCCTTTCCGCCCCCACCCCAGCAAAGCAGAACCTGGGCTGACCTGTCTCAGAGGCGGACGGGATCTTATGAAATCCAAAATGAGTTCGTGGGCGTCCTTCTTCACCCTGGGCAGGATGTCTCCGTCCACCTGGCGGGGAGCCATACAGAAGAATTAGCCACAGCTGCTCCTGTTCTCCAGGAGCCTCCAGGGGGCAAGGTCTGCTGCTGTCCATCTTGTCTGCCTTTGGGGCGACTTCTATAAGGTTCAGGGGGAAGAGTTGCTAGGCGCCCCCCTTTCAGTGAAACCTCCCTCTCTGCCCCAGGCCCCAGGCCCACGCAAGCAGGACGACCCCAGAGGGTGGCTGAGCTGCACAGAGGTTGCCTGGTGGCCCCAGAGCAGGAGGGGGCAGCCTCTGTTCCTCTCACCATGACCTTGCGGAGCTTATAGTTGCGGGCTCGGATGTCCTGCATCAGCATCTCAAAGGGCGTCAGCTGATATTCGGTGGGCAAAGGGTCAAACTGTTTCTGCTGGACCTTCTTCAGCTTCACGCCGTTCCGCAGTTCTCGCATGAGCTGGACCCAGAGCCGAGCCTGCAAGCCACAAACCAACAATGCCACCGGGACCCGTTTCCCCCAAACGGCTTGAGCCAGGAGAGGCGCTGGGGGCTCCTGCTCTGAGAAGCCAAGCCCCCTTCCGAGCTTCCTCCGGGGCAAGCAGTGCCTCGGCCCTGGGACAAAGCGGACGGTTTCTCCCACCTGCTGGGAAGGTCGGGCTATGGGCGGCCCGGGGAGACTGTTTTCAAGGCCAAACCGCAGCCACGAGGGCGTGGCATTACTCAACCTCGCCTGGCCCTTTTTGGCAAACGGGTGTGTGGGGAGAACCTGGGACTGCAGGCGTGTATTTGAGGGGGGAAAATACAGTTATTGAGCGTAAAGTTCACGTCAGGCGCGCCTCGAGCAGCGAGGGGAGAGGATTCCCCTCCATTCTCCTTGCTTCTTGAGGGGAAGTAGTCCTCTACCCAGAATATTTATACTCAGCCCCACCCAGAGAGATTCCGGGGAACTTCATCAAAGTCTCCTTTTCCCAGCCCGCTCCGTACCCAGTCCGTGTTCTTCAGGTTGTCCAGCTCTGCTGCCGATCGGTCCCTCAGCTCCTCATCCTTCAGCTTGACCAGCATCTGCACATCCCAAGAGCCAGAGACAGGTTAGCCTGTCATCTAAGTTATCGATTGGTCTGGGAGGGACTTGAAAGGGCAGCCCCCCAAGGCCAGGGACGGGGCACCCAAAGGCTACTCTGGGCCGCTGGATCTTCTGGGCAAACAAGGGACTGGGACAAGAGCCAACTTTGGCACGGTTGGGGGAGGCGGGGCACAACTCCCAAGTGGGAGCCTGACTGGGAGTTGTAATACTCCATCCCAGGGATGAGAAGCAGAGCAGCTTCTTTGAAGAACCACCCACAGCCATCAAAACACGTGTGGCTCTCAGCCCCCAGGATGCCCCGAGAAGGTGGGGGCAGGTGGACCGACCCTCATCTTCCCTCCCTGAACAGCTTCTAGTTGCTTAGTGTAGCTGCACCCTTGAATCCCTGCCTGCTGGTCTTCCAGTTCAAGCCAGGAAAGGTCTGTGTGGATGGATTCCATTCCTCCCCAGGACGTGTCTGGCTGACGCCCTTCTGGAGCTCCCTTCAGGGTCTCCTTGCAAAGAGAAGTGAAGCTGAGGGCGCCTGTGCTACACCCCCGTCTCTAATTTCTCCCTCCCTCTCTGTCCCTCAGCCTTTCTCACTTCCACGATGAGGTTTTGGGGTAGAATTTGTTCCCCGAGTGACTGTTTCAGGAGGGGTGTGTGTGGAAATGACTTCTCCGTGAACTCTTTTCCACAGGAAAACAGCGCTTTCCCCTGGAGAGGGCTGGGCTGGAGAGTCCCTAATTATCAGCTCTCATTAGCTACTCAGGGTTCCTCCCAAGAGATGCAAAGCCCAAGCCCACCAAGGGGGCAGCTTCCTCAGGCGCAGCCCAGCCCACCTCCATCCCAAGAGGTCTCTCTCTGAAAGAATAGGAAGGGCTGAGCCTCCTCTGAGCCTCCTCTGAGCCACGGAGACATCCTGGCAAAGAAATGGGCTGGTGCCTCCCCTCCCCACTCCTGGCTCTTAGTTGCACCAGCTGTGCAGGGGAGGACCCTGATGGGGGGGGCACGGTTCTAGAGGCGAGAACTGCAGGGAGACAGCAGACCCCTCCCCAGCTGTGTGGGAGGGCAGGAACAAGAGGGCCGGGGGCTCACCAGGACGGGGCATGTTGCTGCTCAGTTGCCACAGGAAGGTGGAGTTCCTGCAGCACCCACAGATCCTGAATGGCACATTGCCATGGCTCAGCTGGGCAGCAGCCAGCAGAGAAGGCAGGTCAAGAGCTGCCCACCTCCCTGGCGCTGGCAGCAGACCCCCCAGGCCAAAGAATCCAAGGGACTGGATCTGCCCATCTGGATCTAATTCCGTGTGTGTGTGTGTGTGTGTGTGTGTGTGTCTGATGGAGAATTCTTCCCAGCAAGAGGAAGGAGCCGAGATGGGCCTCCTCTGTGACACCCCCTTTTTCTGAAATGCTGTCCCCCAAGAGGCATGGGCAGCCTCTTCCCTCTGCTCGTTGGTACCCAGCGAAAGACAGCATTCCTCCCCCCAGTCCTCGGCCAACTCTTTTAGCCCTCTGGGTTATTTTATATCCCTTCCTGGCTACTCCGTCCAGAGTCCTGTGGGACCGGGAGGGCTAAGTAAGTGCCGCTAAATAAGATGACTCCAATTTGCAGTTATCTCCAGAAGCCGAGTAGCCTGGCACATGGGCCTCACCCAAGCAACTATCTGGGACACAAAAGAGCCTTTCTGACAGCTGGGCAGCTGCTGTAGGGGTGCCGAGAGTCTCCCTTTCCAGGGGAATTGGGTAGCTTCTGGGCAGCCACCGAGAGACGCAAGGTTGGACCATCCTCCCCGCCTCCAAAGGGCGTCTTCCCAGATGGCCTGGGAGGCAGCCGCCAACAGAGGCTCAGGGATCCTAATGCCCCCTTGCCCCCCCCCCCCCCCCCCCCCCCGAGGGCAGCATTTCAGGATTGGCATCTGCAGAAGGCTCACAACCCAGGAAGCCCCACTCACTTCCTTGGTGTCTCGGATCTTGGCCAGAAAAGCCTTCAGCTCCACCGTCTCGAGGAACAGTGCCCGGCACACCGCCTGGTAGTGGGCGTGAGCCTCCTGTGGCTGGGAGAGGCGGGCAGCACAGAGCCGCATCACTTGGCTGAACGTGCGGACGGCGCTCAGGGTCCCCTTGGCCACCGCCTCCTCCTCTTCCTCCTGCCCACTGTAGCCTTCGTCTGCGGTGCTGCTGCCGCCATTGCCGCCGTCCTCAGAGTCCCTGTTGGTCATCAGGTCGATCAGCCGCTCCAGTTCAGGGCTGAGCTCACGTTCCTCGTTCTCCTCCAGGCCCCAGTCGAGGGCTCGGTAGATGACAAAGCCCAGGGACTGCACCATCTGCAGGGGAGGAAAGAGAAGCGGCAGAGTGGCAGAAGAGTGAAAGACACGGCTTGGTTGATACCCTGGTGTTTTTGTTTTTTGCGTGCTGATGAAACAACTCTCCCATCTACATCTGCCCAGGGCAAACTTAGACCCTCTTCCCAGAGATCAGTGCCAGGGAGGAACTGCCAGTGTGGTGTCTTCGGAGGATGGGTGGGCACACCAGCAATGCCAAGTAGCTGCGCTGAGGCCAGGAGGTGCCAGGGTGCTCAGACCTTGGCAGCTTTGGGAAGGTGGCAAAATAGGCCACCTGACCTGCGCAAGCTGAAGTTTCCCATACTTGCCAATGCTTTGCTAGTGAAAGTGACACGAGGAAGGTTCAATAATTAGCTTTTTAAGAGACTGTTGAGCAGTGAGCAGATTTGCCCAGTTCCCAACGCCTGCAAGAAGAGAAGGTGAGCTTTCCATCGGCCACTTACCTGGGCTTCTGCTGCAGGGGCCAAGGTCAGTGGAAGCTCTGCAAAGGGAAGGTGACACTGTTAGAAGATGCCAGTCCCAGAGAGACCGAGAGCTCCAGGCTCTGCCAACTCCGGGCAGATTTATGTACCCACCTACACGTCTGAGCCCATCCTATACCTGAGAGCCCAGCCAGAACCAAGCAGGTTCCACACTGATGTCTCTTCTTTTGACAAGAGGGCAGAGATGCCAAGTGGGTAGAGTCTACTTTGGGTGGTTTGTCCACAAGTGTAAAATATTGGGGGTGGGGGCGATGGGAGCTCAGAGCGGAATGGAAAAATGCAGACGGCCAGAATTTACAAATGGAAGAAGAAAAGAACAGTCAGATTGTGGCAAATACTAAAAAAGAAAATCTCCTTGTCTTAAAGGATTTCTAAAAACAGAACTTGTAAAAGCAACTTTCCTGGCGCATTTAAGGTGAGCCTGGAAGCCATCTTAGGACACGCATGTACACACGGCCAGTGCGAACCCCCATTTCCTGCCATTTCCCAATCAATCATCCATTTAAAGTCCCAAACGTCTCTAGGGAGATGACAAGACGCCCAATGGCCCCATTGCACAGCTGTGCTTTCTCTTTGGGGACACAAAAGTGCAAAATGGACAGATGTGTTTGTGCCTATGGAGGCCTCTCTTGCCGCCTCTCTCTCCAAAGAAACCAGCCAGCTCTTCTCTCTAACTGCTGTCTCGTTTCTGGGGCTGGGAGACGGAAGAAGATTCTAGGGGTCACCCTTCTCCAGAGAGAATTACACGAACTGGGATCAATAAAATGAAGTTTGGCAAAAGAAAGAAAAGGAAAAATGAGAATTAGGCCATTAGGAGAAAGCAGAGAACCACTTAATGCAGCAGCACCGTAAGCAGAGCCAAGACCTCCCCTTCCACTGCCTGGCATCACACAGAGCCAAGGCTGCGGGGGGGGGGGGGGCAGTGCAGTTCTTGCAGCTTTGTGGGCCACTCTTCTGCGGCAGCCTCTGTCCTGGTTCCTTCCTTCCTGCCATGGAGGCCAATGGGAAGCAGTGGGACTCCCTACCCTAAAGCTGCCCACGCTGGAAGGTGACTCTGCTGAACTGTTGTGGCACACTTGGCACTTCCAGCGCAGTCCCCTTTCGGTTTGTTTCCCCAGCCCTCAGATGGGAAGCAGCTGGCATCAGCAAGATCTTGCACAGCTCGGGAGAACCCGGGAGAAATGCCCTTCACAGGGACAGGAGGGGGCTTTCGCACCCTGGACTTCCTCTTCATGGCTGGTTCCTGGAATCTTACCATTCACTTTACCTAAAAAGTATCTGAAGAGGAAAGCTGTGCAAACTGCACATGTGCCTTAAATTGGGAGAATTTGCTTTTCAAAAAGGATGCATTAAGCAAAACTGAAAGAGAAGCACACATCTTTGGAGAAAATTGATACATTTTTGTGCAGATTTAAGAAAAAAGCCTCAAGCAACGAAGCAGTATTTGCAAAACCCTTGAGTGCCTTTGCCCACCGCTGCTGATGTGCCGTCTGTGTTTTGATCCGTGAATACACCTGATATCGGGCTGGGGATCCAGGAGCAGCCTTGCCTGGAACAGGCCAAAAATCCCCCCTCGCTGCTGCTGGGGGAACCTCAGACTGAGGCCGTTGGGCTCCTCCCCTCCAGGCTGCCTGCAGGCAGGGAGTTCTGGGCTGGGATGAGTCAAATGTGCAGCCAGGAAGCCACCAGGTCAGTGACCCTCAACACCAGCCATGGCCATAACTCATCAGCTGGGCTTTGGTAGAGTGGAGAACTGGCCGGACCAGTTCTGATGGCAGGCAGGGCTGCGCTTCTAAGTCAATATTATCAGAAGCAGCTGCAGCTTCCCCAACAACAAAAGCTGCGGCCAGGGCCAGGGCAGAAGCGAAGAGCTGCCCAAGGAGCAAGGCTGCTGGCCTCTCTGCCACCCCAGCTGTGGGCCTGTCCCTGCAACTCCCTTTGACTCTGAGCTGTTCATAAGCAATTTAGAACAGGGACAAGCCGCCATGAACTCTCCTGGATCTCGCTGCTTTTTAACTTCAACTGAAATGAAATCAGGGAATGAAAGCAGGGAGGCCCTGAGAGGCAGAGGCAGGACTAGACTGGCTAAACTAGGACTAAGCCCCAGAGGAAGGAATCAGGGAGGCAAGCAAGCAGCAAAACCCAATTCAGTGACAGGAAGAAAAGCAGGTAGCAGTCGTGGAAGAGGAAAGAGGATACACGAGTGAAGGAAGAGACACTTGTTCCTTGACTGCATGAACGGAAAACTCTGGACTCCTCCTGCCTGAGGTGGGAGTTGGACTAGAAGGCCGCCACGGTCCCTTCCAGCCCCAGAAGTCTCTTCTATGAAAAGCCAGGCCTGTTCAGGCAAGAGTCATAACTCTCCCATTGAGTTGATGCCATCAAGAGGAGGACATATGTCCACCTGTGCTTGTTCTTCTGACAATGGAATGTGGCGGCCTGCCTGCAGGGGTCCTGCTGATTGATGGCACAACCCCTCGAGTGGCCCTTTCTCGAAGTAGATTGCCTGGGCATTTCACATTTCTGTACAGCTTTTCTCCCTCCCCTGCCCCTCTAAAAAGTGCTCCGAACAGTTTTGCAATTAAAACACTCTGTAATGTTATGGCCTCATCAATCACCGTGGGATGTTCTCAGCAGTTCTTCCTTCCTGTCCCAAGCCCTAAGAGAAGATGGTGATCCCCAGGCACGACCATGGCTGTTGAGGATGCTTCCCTGCTGCCTTTCAGGGAGGCTGGGAAGACCCCACCATGGATGTGGCTTTGGCACAGGCTCTCCTCACCTACTGTCTGCCCGACCATGCAGCTGTGGGCATCCAAGCTTGGTCACCTCCTCCTCTGGGATGCCACCCAAGACCCAGGCTTGCCACCTGACCACACTTCTTCCTCTGGGATTATAGCGCTTTACTCCTCTGGAGCAGACCCCCCCCCTCAAGGCCCCTCTTGTCTCTTGCAAGCCCTCAGGGTTGAGGCCCTACTAGACTGCAGGTGCTTCAGCCCCCCCCCAGACAGCCACCAAGAACCTTCTGCTTTGGCACGGGCAGTTGGTGTAATTACACACATCAGACACACGTGGCAAGGAGATGAAAGAGCCTCTTCTGACCTCTGTGCTCTCACACAATATATAAATGACTCAAGGCAAACTAAACCCCACCCACTTTAGTGGGGCAAAGGGGCAGATAAATGTACCTATTGCTGAGGAGAAAGAAAAAGGTGGCTTTCCGGAAAACCGGAAGCTCCCCGAGAGATCCGAGACACGGATTAAGGAAGGGCTCCTTGATCTGCACCGCTGGGATGTCACACCACCCAGAGATCCGCGGGCTGCTTCCCGCCTGCTGGGAAACTATCAGCCCCCCTGGTAGTCCTTTCCTGGCTGGGGACTTTCGGCCTCCCTGCAGTTGCTCCTGGAATTGCTTTGGAGCGCCTGAAGGACCCGGACCGGGACGATTTCCTGCCCCGTGTTGAGAATTCTGCGGGTGGGGGAGCACTAAAGAGGAGCAAAGCGTCGTAGGTGCTCCAGACCATCCTGCGGTCGGAGCAGGATTTCGGGGTCCCTGCATTCAGGCCACCCTCTGGCTTGGGGCCGCGTGGGGGACCCCGCTGGGGGAGGGGGCTGAACCCGCTCAGCCCAAGGAGCGATGCCCCGGCGCCGGCCCCGTCGGCGTCCTTCCGCGGACGAGGCCGGACTTTCCCCGACCGCCGGCTCCCCGGGCTCTCTCTCGATGCCGGGCCCCCTTGCCCGCGCGCCCCCTCCCCACTCACCGGCCTCGCCGAACTCGCCGCGGGCGGAGACGGCGCCGTCCTTGTGCAGGCGGAGATCGGCGGTGTCGCGGAGGCGTCCGGCCGGTCCCCAGCCGCGCCGCCGCCCTTCCTCGGCGGCCGGCGGGTCGGGCTGGAGCAGCCCGCGGCAGCACTGGAAGCAGACGGCCCACGCCTGCTCCTCGTTGACGGGCTGCTCGTAGGCCTTCAGCACCTCCTCCAGGGACAGCTCCCCCGCCGCGCCGCCCCCGCCCCCGCCCGCCGCGGCCCCCGGCCCGGTCCCTGCTGCTCCGGCGCGCGCCATGGCCCCGGCTCCATCAGCGGCTCCCGGCGCCGGGCTCCATCGCGGCGGTGGCGGCCTCGCTGCTCCTGCTGCCGTCGTCGTCGGACGACCTGGGGAGGGGAGGAGAGGAGGGCTGAGCCAGCCGCCTCTCGCACCGCCCGCCGGAGGGAGCGAGACCCGGCCTCGGGGAGCGCGCCGGCCGTTTCCGGACGGCCCCGCACCCCGGGCGGATGGCGAAAGAAACTGGGCGGTCCCTGCCGGGTAGAGCCTCCGGGACAGAAGCGGCGCTGCCCCTGCTAGCCGCTCACCAAGCAGCCTGCCCCTGGCACTCCCATCCGGACTTACTCTGGAGTAAGCATCATGGGTAAGCACCTGCTCCTGAGTAAGCCTGGTTTTGGAGTGGGAAGCAACTGGAAAGCATTCATAGCCCGGGGAGTGAAATCACCAGCATTGCCACACCCCCAACAGCACAGCAATATCTAAGGGGGGAGAGGAGGGAAGTCTAACTCTTGGTCTTGGGGGGCCATGGCTGGCTGCAGCTGAGTTGCCCCTTTGCTTCCACCCTTTTACCCACTAGGAGACAACTGGCCAGATTCACACACAGTTCCCCTTGGAAGGATTTGCACTGGACCCTAAACCAAAACTGAACAAGCTACCGGGGCTTAGTAGAAAGAGGGAGCTCCTTTAATCTCTGGTGCCACCTTTGCAGACTGTCACGTTCTATTAAAAGGAAGAAATTTTTGTGAAGTGCAGCTCCAGTTCACGAAAGGCGAAGCCTTTTAATAAAACATGTTGGCCTGGAAAGGTTAGAAGGGGGAAAGCGGTCTGTATGCGCTCCGCAGCCCCAGCCTGCTTGTAAAACAGGTTCTGGGGCCAAACCGCGGTGCCTTCCAGCTCAGACTAGGAGGGAGAAGAACTCTTCTTCCAGGGTGGGGCTCATCAGGTTAGATTTCAAACTCCACCTGGGAGCCTGGAGGGCAGGTAGACACAATATTTGAAAGCCTGCAGGGAGGCCCAGGGATTTACTGCCTTGGGCCCCTGTTTTCCCCAGCAACCAAGACCTGCCCCCCCTTCCTTCTCAAATAATTGGAGGGGGGCTGTTTTCATACAGAGTCCAGGGAGGGAAGGAGCAGCTATCTTGGACCAATCCAATTAATCCCTTAAAACACATTCCAGGAAAAACTCACTTTAAACCACCTTTTCTACACCCGCAAGGAAATGGACTAACACTTCAGAAACTCAACTCCCGCCTGGCTGCTCCCAGTAATAACAAGAAGAGGAGTCATAAATGAGTTTGTCCCCCTTATAAAAAAACAAATAATTTGTTCAGAGTTGTCCCCTCCCATTTTCACTCTCTTGCTTTTCCAAAATTTACATTTTGTTGCTAGGAAGGTGCAACGTCTGTTAACAGCAACGGTAGTGTGTACACACAAACACAGCAGCCACACCAGTTAAGAGATTATTTTTAAACTCAAGGCCAGAAGAATTGAGGTAGCCTTTCAAATCCCCCCAGCTTCTCTACTACACACTTCTTCTAGTTATGTGCTCAAGATATTTGAAAATTACAGACATCTTTTTCAGTGCAAACTTTAAAAAAAGGCTGGTTTTCAAGATCCCAGAACCAAACTCTCAACACCACATACCTAAACATGGTTCCATCAAGTCTTTCCCACAAAGGCCAACCCAAGGGTCCTCAGCTGCTTTTACTAAGAGTTTTTCTTAAGTGAGGAGGAGGAGGATGTTAATAAACAAAGTCCTCCTATGGATTAGTGGGAGAGGTGGAAAATGGGGGCGTAATCACAACGTTAAAGAAACAGGCAAGTGATGTCGGCTGCATGGGAGGAGGGGAAGTAGGAACACTCAGCCTTCATCCTTAGTTATCCTGGGAGCCCCTCCGTCAGTTGGTATAGAGGCAAAATCAGGTGGTCCATGGAGGACTCACCCCCCCCCCCCAGTTCTTTGCCTCTGTTACTGGTAGCAATGGGACACCCCACAATTGTTGAGCTACAAATGCATTGCTCCCAGAAAAGAAAGGCTTCTAGGATAGAGAAAGCTTGAATAATTTATCTATTTCTTTAATTTATTAAATGCATTGGCTATCCATAACTCTGGGTGGCTTACAATATTAAATGTTGCATACTGCACACATAGAATATATTTAGATGTTTTAATGTTGCCATCCTGTTTTGTATTTTACAGGAGGGGGGTTTGGATGTTGTTGTAAGCAGCTTGGAGTCTTAGATTGGCAGAAAACTGAGAACTACAATAATTGAATGACCTGTTAGTGCCATGTTTTCTAAAAATGCACAAGAGGAAAACATCTTTTGAGGTCTGTGTTTATTCTGCCTTTAACCACAGCACTGGAGGGGGAAGTAATGCTTTGGTGTTTTTATCAGCATCTGGAGAAACAGAATGCTTAGGCTTTTTGACAATTAAAACAAGCAGCAAGTGCCACATGTAGGCCTGGGTCTCCAAGGTGGTATCACAGCAAATCCACTAAGGGATTATTTTTAGCACAGACTTTGGGTAAGAATGAGTTTGAGTAATCCCAAGCCATTGTGTGTTTTCCTTCCTTGTAAGGTGTTCTGGGAAGCCAGCCAATTGCAGTTTATTAAATAAATTATGGTTAAAGGAATAATGGCTTGATACGTCTGAATAAATTCCCCAAATCTCTCTCAGAAGACCAATGCACTATTGCTAGTTTTCCTTACGAGTCCTCTCCTCCTGCAGGCAGCCACCCTGTTCCCACCCCAGAAGGTCAAGGTTTCTGCTATAGACCAGGCTTGGACGTATCCTGTAGGCCAAGTCAGAGCAATGACCCCTTGGCTGCAGGATGCTCACTTCTCACACTGCCAGGGCCTCTTGTTATGAGCCAAATCCTGTGGCCAGAAGTGTGTGTGTGTGTGAGAGAGAGAGAGAGAGAGAGAGAATGGGGATTACCTGGAGCAGCTCTTTCCTCCTTTGTGTGAATTGGGTCAACCTAACCTAGTCCAGCTTACCTTCCCCTAGTGAGGCAGCCTTGTCTCCTGGCCTATTATTTGCCCAGCTGAGGTATTCTTTCCCTGCTCCATCATTATTTACAGTAGCCAAATATCCTTATCTCCTTCTCCTCTTGATAGTATTGCTGTAGCAACCAAGGGGCACTCCCTTGCAAGGCCATTTCCTTTTTTGTTTTTGCTCCTCTCGCTGTTAACCTGAGATGGCAAGAAACAGATTTGCCCCATTAGCAACCCGCCCCAACCACCTGCCCTAGATAGCACCCTATAATGTACAAAAAGGCAGAAGTTCCACCCTGCACATACATGTGGCAGTCAGACTTCATTTTAAGCTTCATCAGTAGCATTTAAAAGGTGATATTAGCACTTTTAACAAGTTCTCTTAAAATATGAGAACTTGTCTTCTCAGCACTATTCAGGAATACTGCATTCTGAATGTCCTTGAATAGGGCTTGCAGCCTTCAAGATACGTACACACCCAACTGGGAAAGACCATGCAACGCATACATTTGCCACTTGCGGAACGTGGTTCAGAATCAGCGTTTCCTTTTCTTCAAGTTTCACATGTAATCGACGTCTTTTATGTTTCCATCACTTGCTGAGCATCACACATATATACCAAACAGACACGCCATTTGTTTCTGTGCCTATGAATAGACCAATGCCGCCTTTAAAAATGCCGCTTGCTTTGCTTGGATTATTTGAAGATTCGTGCAGTATTTTCCGGTGGGCAAAGCAGCCTCTTTCTGCTCCCCGCCAATCTCGGGTTGGAGGCAACGGCTGGAAGGGAAGCCGGAGATTCCGCTCGCCAGCTTATTGCGCGGGCGAATGGTTGCCAATTAGCCGGGAAAGTAGCCCGTCTGTGCAATGATCTCCCCGAACTAGATTCCCAGAAATACACACGAGCGCCGATTTTCTCGCCACACCAAAAATGGCGCTCGGCTCCCTCCCTTCCCCCCTCCCTCCACTCCTCAAATGGCCGCATTAGCAAATAGAAAAACTCTTTTGTCACCTTCCTATTGGAGGAGGCGTTCAAACGGCGGCCAATCAGAACTTTAGGCGCGCTAGTTGGCTGGTGGGAGGCGCCGCTCTGGGAGAATGGCCGGTCGAGCACTTTCCGCCCTTCTGGGTACGGGGGGAGGGGGGGAGCGACAAGCGCTCTGTACATGCCCAGAGACTCTCCGCGATAGCCTTGGCTGCCCCGAGGGTGGGAATTGCACTCTGCATATGCTCTAGGCTAGGGGCCAGCATCGCTGTGAGGGTTATGAAATAGGGAGGGAACTGCTGCTCTCTGGGCGTCTCCAGGCAGGGCTCCCTCAATTGGAAACACAAAAGAAGAAGGGGGGGGGGAGAATTCTAACGGACCCTCTCTGTGTCCTCAGCGGGAAGATGCCAGGAGCAAAAGCGGGAACCCAAAACCCAGCAGGAGCTGCGGGAAGCGGCCCTGCACATCTGGAGTCGGCACCAGAGGCTGGACCAGCTCTTGCTGGAGGTGAGCAGCAGCGCCTGGCGCGTTTTCTCCCTCTCCCGGGGTTCCCCAGCCAGCCGTGTGGATTGGCAGCTCCGGGAGTGGAAGCCCGGCGTCTGAAACAGGGGCCTCCAAGCTTGGCAACTTTCAAGACTGGTGGGCTTCCGCTCCCAGAGTTCCTCAGCCAGCAAAGCTTTAAGGTCCACAAGCCTCAAAGTTGCCAAGGTGGGAGACCCCGGTCCAAGAGGCTCTGAGACTGAGATGGGCTTGTTCATGGTTAAAAAAGTGGGGTGGGGGCAGTAACTGGCCGTCATTTGAAGCTTTTTGGCAGCGGTGGTATTGATAATAAGGACAACAACGCTGGGTAGAATATTTGAAACTGTAAAACAGTCAAAAATACAACGCTGCAGGGTTTGGATAAAAATGTAGCCAAGACAATATTGGGTTACATT